ACACAAACTGAAAAAAGAAATGCCTGTATTTAGCCAGATATATATATATATATATATATATATGCATAGTACAAAGATTCACATTAAATCATTACGTTGATCATGATTATTAATTTATACATTTCGTTGTTACCGTTATCCTGAAGATGTATATAATGTTTTTGAGAGGTATTTTATTTCTTTAATTCTTTCTCTGAATGAAACTAGGTTAAAACCATATACATGAACAGGAAATAAGGGAAATATAATATGGCATATATCCTCAGTAAATTGGAGTGAACGCTTTTGCATCATTGAAAACTAGATTCCGATTGACGAAACGTTTTTTAAAAAAAATGTTTAACCATACAAATGGTACATATAATATATAGAGATTACTACACGAGTGTCTGTCAGATACTCTTGATCTTACAACGAGTTGTTTCAAAACGTATCTAACCAGCGAAAGCGAGTTAGATACGCTTTGTAACAACGAGTTGTAAGATCAGTGGTATCTGACAGTCACGAGTGCAGTAATCTGTTTCTTACACACCCTAAAATCGCACTTTTTTGCATCGAATCGATGCATTTTGTCTAATTTTCATGATCGCAGCAGCGCATTAATACATAACACCACTGTCATAAGTGACGTCATCCTATGTATTGCGTACTACCCGTAAATAATGTGAGATGACAAAATAAAACAAAGAACACGCTGGATTCCGAGAAATTACCAAAGATGTACAACAATGTTTGCTTCCGTATGACATCACTATAGGTGACCGACTTTTACAAAATGGCGTGTTCACTGACAACAGTACGCGGGATTTCCAGATTAGGGTTTTCGTTGATTGAGGGATTATTTGTACATAAATGTGTCACGTAAGTAATCAGAACCATTCTGACAATCTGTATACTGTTATTGGTTTACCATGTTTTCCAATGTAACGAAGAGAATTAGTCAGAAATGCAGATAACTACCGTCGTTGTGCGTGATTTAGCGTCAGTCATGGCGTCACACAGGACAGAATTTACCACATCATTGTAATGTATATATTTGAAATTCCATACTTAGTGCAACGATACTCTTCTCATGAATATTCTCAAACGCGTGATCTAGCCAATGCATATGCAACAATTAGACGAAAGTACCTCTAAAAATGCTACACAGTGTAAAATCTGAATTTTGCTTGTTTACATTTCAGCAAATACAGTTTTCCGAGCAAAGTGTTTGTTTCCACACCTAATTCATTTCGAATGATTTCATCTAGATAATTTGCAGTGGTGACATTTGTTTCTAAAATGTATGAGGAATTGAGGGATGCATGTAGAGCAGCTGAGTTTGAAATATACCTGATCGAATAGGCGTCTCATAACCGGTGTCCCGGTATAAACTCTCCCCCGTACAAATTCTTCCCCCGGAGATTTTATACCGGTACAGATTCTCCCCCGGCGAATCTGTTCTGAAATAAAATCTCCCCCGGGCGGATATATTTCGCGCCCCCCTCAGTATAAAGTCTCCCCCCTGATTATTCGGTTTGTTGCGTTTAAATGAATGTATGATTTGTTATGCGGTGCGATCCAATGATAGGAAACAATCTATTTTTAATCTCCAACCAGTTCTTTGGTTTTGGCACGGAATAATTGACGCGCTTGTGTCCCCTGTTCTATGTACTTTTTTCAATATCCTTATTTCAATATTGTATTCAATTCCACCCATGACTGTACACAACATTTATATATTTACATGTATACGACGGCTACATGGGCAAGTATAACGGTAAACACAAACGTGTGTTTGTTTAACATTTTTGTGTGTTGAAACACTGTTATATTAAAGGGAAATATAACCATTTAGTCTGTTCGGGTAACCAATTCTAGCTATTATTTCCTGAATAAAATATTATCTACTTCAGGCATACACATATTGTTTTGTGTCATGTGACACCAGTTGTTGTTATGAACCAATACTCATGTCGTAAACAACCATAGAAATGTGAAACATCAATGCTAGAGAATAACCAAGTTCGATTTTCCAACGAAAAAATTCCTTTTGGCGTGAACGTTGACAATAGCGGTACAAATATATTAATGGATCACTGAAAATCTGTTGCCTCCGATGAATAGATGAAGTTATGCCGCAACAGTAAGCTCTTAGAAGTCTTGTTTGCCAGCTGGGACCATGTCAATATATCAGGTATGAAATGCATTTACACGTTGAACGCATTCGACAGAGAGTATTAGTTATCTTGAACGGTTGGTGAAACCGCGCAAATCGAAACAGTTCATTTATGGTGTAGTATTTCCATTGGCAAATCGAAACAGTTCATTTATGGTGTAGTATTGTCCACATGTTGATATAAGACTTTATCACTGTCTTCAATTCAAAAATGTTAGATATAAACTTTCGGACCCAACACAAGCCAAACACAAGTATTTATAAAAATCCCTACGAGATTTTATTTCGTAGGGTTGGGGAGAGTTTATTTCGAGAGGGGCTGAACTGTACCGGTATAAATTCGCCGGGAAGGGGTGGGGGGGGGGGGGGGGGGGGGGGTGGGGTATTCTGGGGGCTAATATATTTCGTGACACCGGAACTACTGATGTAACTGATTTCAGAGATCTTATTAATCCTCGCAAACATTCGGTTTTAACACTAACTACGTAAAAACTGTCAACATATCCACGCCGTTATACTCTGATTAAAGATCTAAAATATATTCCTTAATACAGGCTACCATTTGAAAATGGTATCAGTGTAATACCAGGGGCTAGAATATCATGGTGCAACCAGGTTTCTGTTAAACATACAACATCATAACTATCTAATTCAGCACTGATTAAATCTACTTTAAAATCTACTAAGACTGCGTACGTTTACATGTATAATCTTTATAAGCAAAGTAACCCCAAATATAGATAATGTGTATCATCTTCCCGAAATGATTAGCATGTAGAAAAGATTCAAAAACACCTGTATTGAACAACATCAACCGGCATCGTCAAAGCAAAGTGTACATGTAATTGTTACAATGGGGCTGGCGGTGAATATTAATGAAGAACATCTTGTTAAAAAGACACACCGAAACTGATTTGCATAACTGATGACCACAACATATTGCAAAATATCAAAATAGTAAAAATGATACAGTTTAACCTCACACTGAAGAGAAAACAAGAACGACACAGAAAAGTAAAATAGTACGTCATATAGAACTGAGATAAAGTAATCTGAGAAGGGATTCATACGTTATATACAACTTAAAAATATAATATTATGAAAAACGAAAGGAAAGGTGGGACACCCCCATTTTTCTAAACACACAGTATGTACTCTCTGGTAAATAACACTGTGATTTGTGATTTGGCGAGCTTTGCGATGTACCTAATTTCAAGAAGTCACTTTCAGTAAATTTGCTATGCCTAAAATGACAGTAAATGATAAACAGAAGGGGGAATACAAAACTGTGAAGTGTATTAGTTTGCGTGATGTATTTTGAATTTTATTCGACTTCGAAGTGAGTGTTGAAGAGGAGGGACATTACACTCTAAAAACGATAACGTTGACATAACAACAGATAATGTAACTGATAATTATTATTATTATTATTATTATTAATTACACGATCATATGGTTCAATACAGACGTAGGTGAACATTCGACTGAAACACGAGAAACTATCACGGGCCTGGAATTCGATCTCACACATATTTTTGATACCAGTTATCTCAAATGGGTTTCTCACCCACAGGTGTGTAAGAAAAACATCGTCCTCATAGTCCATATCATTTTTTAACCACAAAACAATGAGGATGCAGATTGAGTATATTTATTTATATAACTTGTTCTTAGTTGATCACGGAGGGTCTGTGAAGGAGAAACTACTTTCAATGAAAATAATATCCCAACTTTTGTAATTTAATCATGGGGACAACATTTAGAATATTCATTCACGCGAAAGGTAATAAGTCATGGAACGATATTTCACTCCAGCCACACTGTGTCGGGCTTGCGTCAATCTGTCCGCGTTGTCAAGAAGCATAACTGATGGGTTTCTATATGTTTGACAGAGTTCCCCATTCTGACACTCAAGACACTCCCTAATTTTATCAATTCCTGTTTTTTGTGTTCAATATTTTTTGCCAAAATGCGGTCATTGGCTGAAACGCACAGTGACAATAGCACCTGTTCTGGAAGGGGTTCCCCCTGGACGACCTTAGATACAGCTGTGCTGACCCATCGCCTTCTACAGGCGCCTCTTCGCTGGTCATTGATGACCCACCGAGATCTTAGATCAGTAATACCATCTGATGACAAGCACAGCGCGCCTGAACTATATCTTCGTCACGCAAAATCTGCACTGTCTTACTGGTCAAATGGCGGTCACTGAACTACTGTCCAAAGTGGAACTGACTCGGCTCTTTCTTTTCCGTCAATCATTGATGACCTCGGTTTAGATAATAGGTCAGGAATTAGAAGCGGTTTCCTTACTTGCTGCATGGATGTGGTTAAACTTGTATAGCTCGTGCTATCTCTGTGTAGCAGGGCGATTGTGGATGTGGTTAAACTTGTATAGCTCTGGCTCTGTCTGTGTAGCAGGGCGATTATGGATGTGGTTAAACTTGTATAGCTCGGGCTCTGTCTGTGCAGCAGGGCGATTGTGGATGTGGTTAAACTTGTATAGCTCGGGCTCTGTCTGTGCAGCAGGGCGATTGTGGATGTGGTTAAATTTGTATAGCTCGGGCTCTCTCTGTGTAGCAGGGCGACTGAGGATGTGGTTAAACTTGTATAGCTCTTGCTCTGTCTGTGCAGCAGGGCGATTGTGGATGTGGTTAAACTTGTATAGCTCGGGCTCTGTCTGTGCAGCAGGGCGATTGTGGATGTGGTTAAACTTGTATAGCTCTGGCTCTGTCTGTGCAGCAGGGCGATTGTGGATGTGGTTAAATTTGTATAGCTCGGGCTCTCTCTGTGTAGCAGGGCGACTGAGGATGTGGTTAAACTTGTATAGCTCTTGCTCTGTCTGTGCAGCAGGGCGATTGTGGATGTGGTTAAACTTGTATAGCTCGGGCTCTGTCTGTGCAGCAGGGCGATTGTGGATGTGGTTAAACTTGTATAGCTCTGGCTCTGTCTGTGCAGCAGGGCGATTGTGGATGTGGTTAAATTTGTATAGCTCGGGCTCTCTCTGTGTAGCAGGGCGACTGAGGATGTGGTTAAACATGTATAGCTCGTTTTGTCTCTGCAGCAGGACGAATGTGGATGTGGTTAAACTTGTATACCTCGGTCTGTCTGTGTAGCAGGGCGATTGTGGATGTGGTTAAACTTGTATAGCTCGGGCTCTGTCTGTGTAGCAGGGCGATTGTGGATATGGTGAAACATGCGTCACTTGAGATGTGACCTGCCTCATCAAATAGTTGACAAATATACTTATAGTCCTAATTTGTATTCATTTGTTTTTGTAATTTAGGTCATAAATGGTTTTTAATTCTTGTTAAGATCACCCTGTTGGCTAATATTAATATATGCACGCTAAAGAATGATAACTGGGCATCCTAAGCTGGCGACATGTAGCTTACTTCACTTGTTTTTAATGATACCATATCTTTACATATTATCTGAACCCTAACGCTTACTATTGGCTGAGGATATTTCTTGTTTGAATGGAGATAAAAACATTGGCACTTGACATTCGGAACAATATGTCATTGCATTTCCTACCAGAACAAACATGTCAATTCACTTTATGCAACCTGCTGTCTTTGTTTTGATGACATCTGTAAGTCCAAATAACTATAATTTTTGTGCTTCAGTACTACTCGCATTGTAAACTATTTGCGTCCATTCACAATAGTTGTGCATATGGGATGTAATCTTTTACGTCCAGCAAAACCTTCTTCGTAAAATGTTTCAAGTAAGGGATAAAGATGACGACAATGAGAATCACGAGCTACGCCCAGTTTAATTGTGGAACGCATCGAGACATACATTGTGTGTATCACAAGCTATTAAGTGAAGTAAGTATGGTTTATGCATTTTATGTACACTCACAAAGAAATTAGGAATAAAACCAGTTCATGGTTTTACATCATCAAACCAACAGAGTTGTGTTTACATTACGGCCCAGCTGAATTAGACGGAGACGGTGTGTGTTACCATCACCACATGTCGTTACTGCTGTTAAATACTCCACACAAAACGCATGATATGAGTAGTTCAAAGCGGGTTCAGTTCTATCGCATGTCAAGCTCAGCAGTATCCAAGATCACAAGTTATTTGCCAACGAGCCCGAAAGATAAGTGACTCATCAAATGCGTTAATGAAAGTTGGAAACTAAATAATGTAAGTGTTACTTGAATATGTGTATTGAACGATGTCTTAAATATGAACAGATTATGGAGTTTAATGAATGACCATATGAATGAGTTTAGTAAAATAAGTGTTACATAGGAACTTTAATGGTCTATTATCTGTCGTTGCGTCATATATGATAACCGCCTTTTCTGTCAATAAACATGTTTATTTCATGTTTATGTCACTCAGTTACGATTGAAATGTCCACATAACGTCATGTTTCCAGGGCACAATACGAAATAAGCAGCGTCTTCTAGAGGCATCATCTACATGCTAGGGCGTGGCGTCGTCTACTGTGACTTCAACAATGGCCATAGCACTACGTCAGCAATGGTATTAACATTACGTCAAAAATGGTGTCAGCATTACGCCAACAATGGTGTTAGCATTACGTCAATTCAGAGAACATGGTATGACAGAGTGTTACATCCACATGTACTTTTATTTTTAGCACTTATTGATAATGATATTTGAAATGTATCATTATAAATTCTCTCTTCCAGTGATGCACAAAAGGAAAAACTTTGGGCCTTTTCGATGGACAGAGCCAGATTATGTGAACCTAGTATGAAGGCACATACACAGTGGGCATCACCGGTGTTGAAGTCATGCTGAAGAAGAATCATGTGTTCCTCACCGCTGTGTTTGTGGGGACTGGACTCCTTGTCTTCACTACCTGGGAACCTGAGCAGTTCATGGTCATCCTGCACGCAGGCTATTCGAACTTCACTTATCACTTTTCTCTCCACCCAAAAGGCTCACAGACCGAGTGCAAAAACGTTTTGGACGAAATGGTGCGAGGAACGTGGACACCGAGGAGCGTGACGTTTGAAGAAAGAGAGAAAGTTGAAAAATTCTTGATTACATCCAGAGGAAAGTATTTTGTACCAACAACCTTGGCACGCCCTGATGGTGTTTGTGGAAATACAACTTTTGACTTTCTGAAAGGCCTACAACACCAGGCTCTGTGGTTCCGACCCCTGTGTGATCCCTTTGGTCCCACACCATGTTGCTATAACAATAAGTGCGTGTATAAGACAGTGAAGGAATGTATGTGTGAGAACTGTTTTGACATGCGCAGGCCTATTAATGCTGAACTTGCTGATTGGAAACCATCCAGCCCCAATTGTCAGATCTCAATGTTGAACAAAGATGAAGCGTGTGAACTAATTAAAGGGGCTACTATCTACTACATCGGGGACTCGTTCTTGAGGCAGATGTACACCGTGACTGTCCACCTCCTCACTGGCAACTATAAGGACTCCACGCTAAAGTCTACAACACCAACAGGTTTGTTTGTGTGTTTGTTTGTTTGTTTGTTTGTTTGTTTGTTTGTTTGTTTGTTTGTTGATGCTGTACTCCGCACTATTCCAGCAATATGACGACAGTCTGTAAATAATCGAGTCTGGGCCAGGCAATCCAGAGATTGACATCATGAGCATCAATCTACGCAACTGGGATACGATGACATGCTTCATTTTTATCAACCAAGACAGCGAGCCTGACCACCCGATCATGTTGAACTATACTGAGTGTATCTTGTTTTCTTTCTGACCAATAAGGGATAAAAATGTCCCAAATGGTGTCATATCTTGTCCAAAAAAAAATCAACTGTTCATTGGGACACCATTTGGATGCATGTTTCTGATGTCATAAATTTTGGCCTTTGCTACAATTACTTGAACTGGGTCTATGTTACTGCTGGTGGACAGAAGTCCCCGACTTTTATCTTAAGCTCAGTAGCATTTATCAAATATGCTGAGACATTAAAACTGCGCCTCTCACCTGCCCGCACACGCACACGCGCACGCACACACACACACACACACACACACATACTCTTTATAGCAAAAGGAACATATCTCTGCACTTGTACACAGCAGACGTAATTCAAAATTAGATATCGTCTTTGGTTTCAACAAAATTAGTGAATGCGCTATCGCAACATGACAGGGGTACTGCTGTAAGGTGTCATCAACAACCACACACTTTCTTTTGCAAATTGTGTGAGTAGCGGGTGGTAGGGTATGTCATGCTAACCCTTTTCGCGTACACAGGGTGTCATCACTGACTTACAGCGATCCACTCATCTAATTTCTATTGCTACATTCCAATGGAATCTCCGGAAATTCGAGCCGTTGACGATTTATATTAAGATGACTGTCAGTGTTGCTTCGACTTGGGTTATAACGACACGGCATTATCAACAGCTCTTTCAACGGTTGATTTAAAGTCCTTAAAGCTGCCAGAGCAACAGCAACGGTAAAATCCTTACAGTAATTACTCAGGTGAGCTAACCATGTGGTAAAAGGTTAAGATTATAGTTACATCATTGTTAATATCAGACCCTAAGGTCCAAGTTTCCATATGTGACGTAAAGGCCAATACAGACCGCGGGTTTCCATTATTCTTATCCCGAATGTCATATTTTGTGTACAAGGGCAGCATCTGACATAAAGTAGTTCAGAAGCCCTTTTATAACACTTTTGTGCTGTTAGGACATTGTGGTGTCATTAGTGCACGGGGACATTGGTACACTGGGACATTGGTACACTGAGGACATTGGTACACTGAGGACATTGGTACATTTATGCCACTGATCAATTGAGGACATTGGTACACTGAGGACATTGGTACACTGATGCCACTGGTACATTGAGGACACTGGTACACTGAAGACACTGGTACACTGAGGACACTTGTACACTGATGACACTGGTACACTGAGAACATTGGTATACTGAGGACACTGGTACACAGAGGACACTGGTATATTGAGGTCATTGGTACAACGAGGACATAGGTACACCGAGGACACTGAGGACACTGGTACACTGAGGACACTGGTACACCGAGGACATAGGTACCCTGAGGACACTGAGGACATGGGTACACCGAGGACACTGGTACACTGAGGACATAGGTACACCGAGGACACTGGTACACTGAGGACATAGGTACACCGAGGACACTGGTACACTGAGGACACTGGTACACCGAGGACATAGGTACACCGAAGACACTGGTACACCGAGGACATAGGTACACTGGTACACTGAGGACTTAGGTACACCGAAGACATTGGTACTTTGAGACATTCGTACACTGGTGATGAAGCAGAAAAGAGAGTTCTGCATCACTTATAAATAGATTTTTCCGGTGCGAGTCTTCTGACTGGCCAATGACAGTCACGTCTGTGATGACGTCACGCTTTAAATAGCTCGCCAGTTGTAAGGAGCAATATCTAACCTGACCCTCGATTTTGCCGGAGGTAAACGATAAACATATGTTATGACTGACTAATCATGCACTGTTGGAAACTTTTAAATGGACCAGCTACACTAAGCCTAATGTGAAGCGTGTCATATAAATACCCCTAGTAAAGAGAGTTGTTATGATTTATAGTTTCAGCATGCCTGGTGAAGGATGGGTGTGGTATTTATTTTAATCCAAAACACCCAGTCTCCTTTTTTGGACCCACTTAACTCTAAATTATTGTGAATAAGGAGGGAAAATTTGATTATATCGCATAGTAAGTGAGTGAGTTGGGTTTAACGCCGTTTTTTACGGTATACCAGTTATATCACGGCGTTTCAGCTTAATGTGGGAGGAAAGCCGGAAGTGATGCAGGCCTCAGACGTTTACCACTTCGGTGAAACCCACGAGCACGGGTATGGTGCTGACAAACCTTGCAACATAATCGCGGCAAACCGGGATTCGAAGCCACTATCATAGGTTTCTGGTGTGCCCAACTCTGCACAGCGAATCGCGACACCTTAGACAACTGGTTCACTCGTGCCATCTTACGTCGCATTAAGAAGTGGCGTGCTTCCCAAGATGCCTTTTCTCTTCAGAAGCCTTTGAATGCTCGATGGGATATAAACCTTGCAGACCTGTCCAACATAGCTTCGGACAATGATAATGTCAATCACTTGTTTATAGCATTCAATATTTTTCAAGATAAATATAACAGGGATGAAAAATTCTCCCAAATTATTTTCTTTGTTTTTACTTTGTTTACCTTCTCTTCTTCTCATTTGATGCTGCCATTTACAGTACCGATGAGCAGCCCCTCTGTACACACCAATTAGATGGTGGTAGTCACGTACCCGGACGAATGCCAATTTTATCTGAGAGATATGACAAATATAAGCTATCTTAAAGGCATTATTTTCATTAACTGTCAGCTGCGTTGGTTCTACAATTTTAAGCCTGTTATCGAAATATACTCCTTCTTTTATCAAACACTCAATGAAATGTTCTATAACATCAGGCCCCCTGTGGACTGTAGCAGGTTTGGAGTAAGTGGGATCTGTACAAATCACTTTATATAATCACTTTATTATATACTTTTCTCGTTCATCTATTTGAGGGTTACATCTTCTGACTTTACTAACAGTGTATTCAAAATCCGATACTGTCACAAATGATTGAATGAGTATGGTTTTAATTTTGACACGTTTTTCTTGTTTTTGAAAGGGTGACAATGCGACAACGCGACAATGTCCCTTCTAGGATTCCATAGTATTCCGTGTAACTAAATTTGACTTATGAGTGAGTTGGTATGGTTTGACGCCGTATCTGTTTATTTTTTTTTATTTAAACATATTTATTCACAGAGAGAGCCGGCGCCGAGAGAGAGAGAGAGAGAGGGAGACATTGTTGAATGAACAGTTCTTTACACGGATCTTTTAGTTGTACATATATAATGTTGTACTGCCTTAAATATAGCTTCATTTCCTGTACCAACGGGATCTGCATTGCCGTGTAACAGTAAGTGTACATCAATAGGTATGTTATGAACAATAATTTTAAGGCTGTTTAACATAATTTCACGCTGATGACTAAACAATGGACATTCCATGAGATAATGATATGCATTTTCACATGTATTCGAACATGTACAGTTCGGGTGATCTTTTATACCAATTCTATATAAATCATAATTCAACTGACTGCACATGTATCTCAGTTTTGTGTGTAAGATATTATATTTTCTTTTTCCATAAGCGAAGTACGCAGGTTACGCGGGTAGGTGCTTTTGTAGCGAATTTTTAAAACAAGAAATCGTAGAATTTCGATCTGATAACGGAATAGAGTTCCACAATCAGATAGACGATGGGTAAAAGGATTCACATGAATGTCTTAGTCTTGTGAGAGGAACACTGATGTTTTCAGAGTTTCTGAGACTGTATGAGTTTTTTGCAGCAACGGTTTTGGGTAGAATATCTGTTAGATAGGAAGGGGCCATGTTATGATTAATTTTGAAGAAAAGACAAAGTTTACGTTTCTTTCTACGCTCAACTAAGGGTTCCCAACCGGTTTCGTAATATAATGAATGCCTGGGGGCATATTTAGGTAGACCAGTTACAATGCGTGCAGCTTCTAATTGTAATTGTTCTAATTTCTCACTTTGTCCTTCGGTGCAACCATCCCATACCTCATATGCGTATTCAAAGTGTGGTCTTATGAACATTTTATATATATTGTTAATAGTATTTCTGTGAAGTAGATGTTTGAGTTTTCTCATTGAGTAAATCATCTTGGAAGTATTTTTAATTATGGTATCTATATGACAAGACCATTTGCAACTGGCTTCAAGTATAACACCTAAGTGCTTATGACTGTTTACAGAGCTGATTTCTTTTCCGTTGAAATATAGTTTTAGACCTCCGTTGTTGTCTTTGCGAGAGAATAGAACCGATTTGGTCTTATCGGGATTGTAAGTTATGAGCCAAAGTTTCGCCCATTCACTTAAGATTGCTAAATTTGTGCTTAAGGAACGTTCCAGTACACTGTTATCATTGGATGACATGCCAATCGATGTATCGTCGGCAAACAGTCTTGTCATACAGTCTAATTTATCAGCAATGTCATTTACATAAACAATAAAGAGTAAAGGACCAAGCACGGACCCCTGTGGCACGCCAGCCTTCATGTATCTTGGTTTGGATATTTCCCCATTCACAAATACGCTTTGGCTACGATTACTTATGTAACTGGTAATCCATTTTAACAATTGGCCTTTTATACCATACCTCTCTAATTTATACACAAGCCCACTGTGCCATACACGATCAAAGACTTTTGATACATCACAGAATACAATACAATAGTTTTCTTTGTTATCTAACGCTGTACAAATTTGGTGGTAAAGTTCTATTAGTTGATGGACAGTTGAGTGACCAGCCTGAAACCCAGATTGGTACTTATACAACAATTTGTTCTCATGAAAATAATTATATAAATGTTTGAACACTACTCTCTCAAACAATTTTCCTAAACAACTA